CCCCCAGCTCCTTGCGGTTGCAGGCTCCGCCCCTGCCCAGGCCTAACGCCTCTGGCGGAGGCATTAGGCCTGGGCAGCAGGGACTACCAGCTCCCCGCAATCTCCTCCTCTGCCCCTGCCCAGGCCTAACGCCTCTAGCAGAGGACTGCCAGCTCCCTGCGGTTGCAGGCTCCACCCCTGCCCAGGCCTAACGCCTCTGGCCAAGGCATTAGGCCTGGGCAGGGGACTCCTAGCTCCCTGCGATCTCCCGCTCTGCCCCTGCCCAGGCCTAACGCCTCTCCACCCCTGCCCCCGCAGGATGCCTCTGGCTGAGGCGTCTGGCCCAGGCAGTGTGGACACGCAGCTGCAGCGGCCCCGCGATTGCGGGCTCGGCTTTAGGCCCAGGCAAGGGACCCCTAGCTCCCGGGACTGCCAGCTTCGACCCTGCCCAGCTCCCATCGCTGGCTCCACCCCTACTTCCTGCTATCACTGGCCAGGGCGACAAAGGTGCCCAATTCTCCAATCATGGCTGGGGGGCAGGGCAAAGGCGGCCCCCTGGCTCTTACCTCCCCGCTGGGTTTCCTTCTGATCACTGTCAGTGGCAGGGCACTTCTTCCTGCTTTCCCTTTCGCCTCCCTGCATTGTGCCTACATATGCAAATTAACCACCATCTTTGTTGGCAGTTATTTGCATATCACCCTGATTAGCCAATGAAAAGGGTAGCGGTCGTATGCCAATTACCATATTTCTCTTTTATTAGTCTAGATAAGTTTTCATTAAAAAACAAACAAATATGTTTTTATTGACTTTTAGATAGATAGATAGAGAGAGAGAGATATGAGAGAGAAACATTTATCAGCTGCCTCCTGCATGCCTCCTATTGGGGATTAAGCCTGAAATCCAGGCATGCGCCCTGACTGGGAATCGAACCAGTGACCTCTTGGTGCATGTGAAGATGCTCAATCTACTGAGCCACAGTGGCCAGGCAAGTTTTCATTTTCTAAGGTAAATACTTGTTAGGTAAGTATACATTTACCCTTATAAGAAATTACAAAACTCTTCTAAAATAGCTCTACCATTTTGTATTCTCCCCAGCAATACATTGGAGTTTCAATTGCTCTGCATTCTCACCAAATTTGATTTTTTCAGGGTTGTTGTTTTTTTAGCTATTTGTAATAGGTTGTTAATGGTATCTCATTGAAGTTGTAACTGCATCCCCTAAAGCTAATGATGTTAAACATCTTTTCATGTGCTTATCAGACATTTCATCCTCTTTGAAGTGTCTACTCAAGTCTTTCACCCACTGAAAAAATTGGGTTGCTTTTTTCTTACTGTTAATTTTTGAGTTCTTTATACATTCTGGATACAAGTTCTTTTTCAAAATGTGATTTGCAAATATTTCCCCCAGTATACTTGTCTTTACATTATCTGTCTGTCACAGAATAAAAATTTTAAACTTTGACAATCAATTATTTCAAAATAAAAAGTTTTAATTAAAAAACAACGGCTTTTAAAACTCTCTACCCGCAACTGACTGGTCATAAGTGTGTGGGTCTATTTCGGGATTCTGTTTTGTTCCATTGATCTAAGTGTCTATCCCTTCACTAATACCACACCATTTTGAGTGCTGTGGCTTTATAGTAAATCTTAAAATCGGGTAGTGTGAGTCTTTCCAACTTTATTAATCTTTTGTTCATCTTTTTAAAAATTATTTTGGCTATTCTAGTTTCTTTGACTTCCCATGTAAATTTTAGAATCAGCTTGTCTATATCTAAAAAAAAACCGGCTGGAATTTTTACTACAACTGTGTTAAATCTGTGTATCAACTTAGGGAGAATCACAATCTTAACTATATGGAGTCTTCCAATCTATAAATACAATATGACTCTCCATTTATTTAGGTCTCCTTTGATTTTTTACATCAGTGTTTTGTAGATTTTAGCACATAGACCCTGAACATTTTGTTAGATTCATACCTAAGCACTTCATTTTGGGGGAGCTGTTGAAAAGGGCAATTTTGTTTTCATTTCAGTTCCTAGGTACAGAAATGCAATTGCTTTTTGCATCCTGATTGTATCCTGAATCCTTATTATCTCACTTATAAGTTCTAAAGATATTTTTTGGTAAATTACTTTAGACCTTTTTTATAGGCAATTCTGTTGTGATTAAGACAGTTTTATTTTCTTTCCAATCTGTATGCCTTTTATTTTTTGTGCCATGCTGAACATACTAGGACTTCCAGTGCAATGTTGAATAGGGTAGTGAGAGAGAACCTCCTTGCCTTGCTACTGATCGCTGTTGGATATCTTTCAAACTTTTACCATTAAATATTATGTTAGCTAAGGCTTTTCTGTAGATAGCGTTTATAAGGTTAAGATTCCTTTTAATTCCAGTTAGTTGAGAATTTTTACTGTAAAGGAATGCTAAATTTTGTCAAATATTTTCTCTGCATCAACTGATACTGCCATGTACTTTTTCAAGTTTATAATATTAAATCAGCCTTTCATTTTTGAAGATAATGCACACTAGGTTGTGGTGTCGTATTCTTTATATACATTGCTAAATTTGATGTCTTATTATATTTGAGGATTTTTACGTCCA